AACAATGAAATTAATAATTGGGCCAAAAAATTGAATTTAGAAATTGGGTTGGGTTTGGCTAGCTAGGCATGGACTTGGCTTGAGAGTTGGAGCATTAATCGCTAAATTAATTAATTTGCTAATTTGTTTAGAAAAAATTAAAATAATTTAATTAATTCAATATAAAAAATTAAAAAATATATATTTAGCTTCGGTTCTTCGGTCTAGAACCGAGAACCGAACCAAACCCATCGGTTCTCGATTAAAATACACGTTCGGATATTTAACTTATGAAGAACCGCTCGTTTCATTTCGGTTCGATTCGGTACGGTTCAATCCGATTCGGTTCTGGAGTTTTGTCCAGCCATAGGCTCCATGCACAATGGAGATACGCCGTGTCTCCAACCCCTAAAATCTAAAATCCGGAACCATAAGAATCCAGAACCCGAAGAAATCCCCAACTAATTTGTCAGGTAAGTTAGGAGAAGGAGAACGTGTCCAGTGAGGCGTTGGAAGCTGCACGAATTGCCTGCAACAAGTACATGACCAAAATTGCAGGAAAGGATGCTTTCCACTTGAGAGTCAGGGTTCACCCTTTCCATGTCTTGCGTATCAACAAAATGTTTTCATGTGTTGGGGCAATGGGGCTGATAGGCTCCAAACTGGTATGAGGGGCGCTTCCGGCAAGCCCCAGGGAGTCTGTGCACGTGTGGCCATTGGACAGGTTCTTCATTCTGTCCGCTGCAAGGATTCAAACAGTAATCACGCCCAGGAGGCCTTGTCGCGCCAAACTCAAATTTCCAGGTCGTCAAAAGATCATTGTGAGCAGGAAATGGTATGAGATCAATTCTAAATTCTTCTCGAAAGTATATATTTAATTTTTTCCTTGGTTTATATTGTTGGGTTTTGGGAATATACATCCTATTGCTGCTGCACTAATTTTCATATCGTTGCTTGGGCATGAGTTTTATAGCTAGAATTTCATGTACATATGGAATCTCTCTCAACTCTTCCCCCTTGCATATCAAAACATCCAGTGAATTGGAGCTCTTCCTCTTTGT